ACATAATTCCAACATTCATACTGGTGTACATCGGGCTGAAAAATACAGCTGGCGGCATTGGTCAAGTTCCGTTCAATTCAGGAATACCAGGTGGATATTGAACCGCATGGGGTTGAAGAAAAAACATACGAGACTACTTGTCATAGCTGGTTCTGTCACAACTTTATTATCGAGCCTTATCCATTACAAAACTGCATTTGTAGTCTAATATATTATAACAATTCCTGGTGAAGGTACTAAAGCGCGACAACTAGATTTCATTCGTCGATCATCTCAAGCTATTTGTACCTGAAAAAGCTGGTTTGCATCCATAAATCATTTCAGCAGGTAATAGGATGCAGATCTTGGGCAAATTTCCTCGTGCGAGAAGCATAGAACCGTGTTCGAGTGAGATATAGGATAGCCCTTACCTTCGCAGAATTACCGCGTGGATTTCTTCCATGGCTAGTACTCTTCACTGCTTAGGGGTTGAATTTAATGCTCGGAATTCAGAGAATCCACATGCCATGCATACGTCGCAAAGGCAGTTGGACGCGAGGATGGTGATACTTAGGTCCCCGCGTATGTTCCCACGATTCAGTCCTGTCTTTTCCTCGAACGTAAAGTCATTCTTATTGAGTGGTTGAATACCTCAAATCGAGTTTGGGTTGACCGCCTCTGAGTTTTAATGGTGGTCTTATAGTAAGTAGTCAACTCCGGTAGCACTCCGAGCGGCGGTTGACCGAGGAAATTGGAATTGAATTGAGATGGATGAAGACCGGAGTCCTGGCCCATATTTAGTATTCTCTAAAGCGGAGTCTAAAATATCCCTGGAGGTGAAATAAAAATACATGTCATCACCAAATCCGGAAAAAAGTTGCCAGAGATTATAAGCGGTTGCGATCTGCACAATCTACACAAACATCACAATTATTGTGAGCCATATCGCGAGTGGTTGTAAGCGAAAGTCTCCATGTGTGGTGACCGCGATATGAAGTATTCTTGTGAAGGTTGTACCCTATTGTGGAGGTCGCAAGCGAATATAAGGCTGAAGAGCCAAGGTGACCACACCTCCCTTTCGTTCTCTACGAAACTCAGACAGGACTATGAAGAGAAAACAGTGCATTACACAGTATCATACATATTACATCTCTAGTGAACGACTACCATTCTCGTAACTAACGCATAACAGCACCCGCCGGTTGCTTGGTCCAGCACGCTGGAAAGTGTCGAGTTCGCCAGAGGAGCGCTCGTCGTGTTGGAGGGAAGAAGTGAATGCAGGAGTGCGGAGGGTGGGATGTATGCGTGAAGCATGACGGTCACGGTAGCTTATGCGTGAAAGGGCAGCTCGAGGGCAGGGAGGTCTTGCATAATTGGAGCGGTTATAGCAGGCGCGGATTGTGATGATGGAGATACGATAGGCCACGGACTCAGAAGCGTGTTGCGCTATGCTATGGACTGCGGTTTTGATTATGAACTTGTGCTGACAACGACTTGAATCCCGTCTTGAGGTTGTGAGCTTGAGACATTGAAGACCGGAGCCTAGAGGGCAGGAAAGTAACGATAAGCTTCGACCAACTTGAGAGGAGCTTGAGGAGCATGAGCCTTGAAGACAGCTTGAAGACCCGGGCAGCTTGAGACGAGCTTGACAACGAGATGAGGAATGACTTCGGGCATTGCTACATCTTGGACATCGGTTTGAGTAACTTCAATGGTCGAGAGCCATGAGGAGGCCAAGGCAACGGAGAACGAGCATGGGTCGATGGAGGTAAAAGCGAAGGAACGCGCGGCCAACTTACATCATCCCATCAACGAAGTTGACGTGCGCACGGACCTTATGTTGATGGCGGGCATCCGAGGCCGCGTTGGCTCGCGTTGGAGTCGGATGTGCAGGATTTCGTCAACACATCCAGTTTTTTTTGCGTATCGCTGTACCCGAGCCCTCGTCACATCATTCTGTTCGAGCTCATGGTGAGACACTGATACATAAATCGAGATTGATTTATCAAGGAGGTACTCACCGCGATGCTAATTACTATTAGCAAAACTCAACAAAGCCCGAGTCCAGAAAACGGAGAATAGCTGGGATAAAAATGATTAACCCACGACATTCGCTCGTCCACCATTCCGAGGTGGTCCCAACAATTGTTGTCGCAGACGACGGATCCACAACCATTGTGGAAGAGTTGCGAGCGGGTATAATGGATTGTGAGCTCCGCAATTGTTGTGATAGAATCGTGATCCGTACACGGGTCAAACAACTTTTTTCTAGATTTGGTGATGGTACATCAGATAAGTACTTGTCTGCCAAAAAAAAGAAACGAAGCTATTTCTCAGTGCCTTTGGTTGGAGTCGAACCCACACCTCCTCAAGCAGTGAGCAAGAATATTGATTCTTTCGAGGCCATCTCGCATTAATCCACAGAGGCGTGGAGCTGATAGGTTTGCAGTGGACCAAGTAGCTGACTTTGGAAACCTGTGATGGAACGAAAAGACAACAAAAAAATCATCCAGGGGAGTGGGATTATACGAACAACGGGGTCTGAACAAAAAGCTAGAGCAATGAAACATGAACTGTTTGTTAGCATTAACCAACGGCCTTTGTACTAATCCAATATTCATTATTGACGTGGAAGTAAGGAATACACTGGTTATAGAAGCAAGGGGGAAATTCGTGCCTCCGGCGGGACTGCACAATTATGAGGATTTGCCACTTATACACGGAGATGTGATTGGCTTGTCCATTCTGGGTTGAAGCAGTAGATGGTAGGGAAAATATGCAGTGACCATATTCCAGATCTGGGTACTCGTGGTTAGGGGAAGCCGGGTGAGCAGGTCGTGGTTTGATTGGCTCAAAAAGAGCGAACGCAAAATACAAATGTATCGAACGAGGCGACTATCAAGAGATAAGAATAAAGCACGAAGGAGGAAAAAATAATAGCACAACCGTCTCATGCGGCATGCCCACGGTGGGAATCGGAATCGAACCCACATCTCGTCAATGGGAAAAAAGGATTGCGGGCGTGACTGTGTTTGGTTCAAAGGATAATATGAGGGCATCGGGATCCAGTGGATGGGCAGGCTTTCAGACTGAACCAAGGATGGACTGAAAGGAGGCCCGCCTTCCGAGCGGCTGAGCAACAAGAATACGTAGCAGTCGCGGGATGGAGTTCCAATGGACGGCGGAGCGGAAAGCACGGAAGTCAATGCAAAGATAAAAAGTCGAATAATTACGAACAGCGGTACTCTTCAAGTCCTGTTAACATCGGATGGAATACGTTCAGAGGAGACCAAACAATGAGATTAATGCCTCAGAAGAAAGAGGGAACTTTAGAGCCCAGATTTCAAGTTCAAGGAAACAATAAGCTGAGGGGTTTTTTTTTTTTTTTTTTTGCGAATACAAGTGGCCAGCCCAATGATAAGGGCAAGAAGCAACGGTGGCAGGGCACAGGACGAAAATGGTGACTCTTCAGACTCCTATTTCTTTGTCTCGGTTGCGCGACGCTCCTCGAGACCCACATGGACGCATTCCGCGAAAATCCTTCAGACGTGGATGTTAAGGCTCGAATTGTCGCGACCGAGGCCAATATTCGACGCTTCACAGCTCAGATCGACAAGCTGGACCGCGCGCGCTAGGAGCGACATATCCTTGCGCGGCTGTGGTTTATGATTGTGCCAGTAGGGAAAATTCCGACAGAGTAATTTTTGCCCTCGCAGCTCAGTCCACTGCGACCAGCGCAGTCGTGGATCGTCCCAGCCCTCCTTTTGGTCTGGACCATCCAGTCCACCAGACCATCTGCCCTTCGCAGGTTTGCTCCTCTTGGCGACAGTTAGTCATCGGATCGCCGAAGCTCTGGGCTGCGGGGTTGTCCGATGTGCGGACGGATGGCAGAAACGACCTGGAATCCCTGCAGATGTCGCTCAACCGCTCTCCAGAAGAGTATGGAAGATTTGAAGGAGCAAGGGCTCAATTTAGATCTCAGATGGGCTCGGAAGCCAGTATATTCTCATGTTCTAGATGGGCTCAGTGACTTGTCAACTTGAATTTACACGCTATGTATACCGCCGATTTTGCAGCGCATCTGAGACGAATCCGACTTGCCGTAGGAGAGTATTTCTACTTCCCATCTACGTCAATCCCACAGCTAAGTGCTTGTATTTCCTATCCAAGGAATCAATTGAGGGGATCAATCACAAATGAATTGACACTGTCGATTACCACTTGAAGTCGAAATACTGGCACAGTGTCACGATTACTCGGGGTATTTCTGGGTTCGTGCAGCATCAATATTTATCTTGAACGTTGTGGCTTTTCTTTCATGATTTGATTTTGCGAATCTGCTCCGACGTCAAACCATTACCACGATTAAGCTGGGAGTTGAATCGCAGGAATAGCACATGGCATGCACCTTGCGCAATCTGCTGAATACACATCTGTCAAAGATCTCGCCCGTCGGTTTACTGAGCGACAAGAATTCAGCCCGACCAATACAACAACCACAGAAATACGTGAGTAAAAAATTGAACCGCTGACGGATCGAATCATTGATCAAAGCAGAAGTACATACATTATTGGGTGGGATTACCAGCGTCGGCTCCGTTTTAGAAGAGAGGAGAGAACCCTCAACTATATTACCCACAAAATCGACATTTTTGCCGAGAATGTGTGCGTTGGAAAGGAAGTTGAACAGACCGGCGGTAGTTCCCGGAAACATTCCCACGATTTAACTTCGAGCGGATTCATGGAGGATCTATCCTGTGGGCTTTGGTGGCTTTCCTATTTGATATTATTACAATTTAGCTAAACATATATATATTTACGGAGCCTAGAAATGCGTGCCTTGAGGCATTTCGGATTCAGACCAATATATGGACATGCTGCATGCATGTGGGTTCAAGTCGAGCCTCATCAGTATTCCGATGCTCATGAAGGCTATATAAAATTATAGATTTACACCTCTGAGTCCGTCCCAGACCTTCGAGCTTAGGGAAGGAAAAGAAGGAAAAGATCTCCCCACTGTATGCCTGCAATGGGATTCGAACCCACATTGAATACATGTCATCAACTTGGGGCGATCTACCTTGATCCACAGAGGCTTGAAATTCTATGCAATTTAGTGCCCTAACTACTATGTAGTATTTTTTTTTCACAGTAGGAATAATGGGCGAGGCTGGAGCCTGTCAGTTATTGAATACTTGGATGGATTGTTGAATTCTATGCATCTCTGAATCTAAGGCAGGGATCATTTGTTCAAGAAGAATTTAGGTTGAGTTGAGAGTTTAATTTTTTTTTGACGAGAAATATATTCAATGGAATAGAAAGAAAAGAGAAAAACAAGGATCTTGGAGTGCTATGCCTCGAGTGAGAATCGAACCCACAACTGCCCTTAAATGGTCGCTTGAACATGTACGTTATCGGGATAATCCACCACTGAGTACTGCTCCACGAAGGCTCGACGTGCTTTGTCTTCTCATCCAACTACTAGACCGGTATCCCGGAAAGAATGAGCCAATGATCGGGTAGATATAACTACAGTTGTTATACGTCTTTAATGCTACAGTTGTGTTGCACGTCATGGTTGGACTTGAAGAATTGAGGCAATATAATTGAGTGGCTGAACGTCGACGTGGACAGCGGACAGTGGTTGAAATAAAGCGGCCTCCGGTAATTCTAACCGACAGTTCCTCGAAGCATCAGGTGAAGCCATATCTACGAGATTGAGGCGATCTACCGCATCCACGCAGGCGCGATGGTCATTCGATCGAGAAGAGCCGAGGGATTGTGGGACGCAAAAATAGATGGGGACAAACTTAGACTGGAAGAAAACGGTTAGAACCCGCATCTCCTCAGTCAAAACTTGCGACTCAGACCTTTATAGAGCTCTGAGGCCGTTCAGCTACGGAATCGTGTTATGAGAGGAAATAGTCCGAACTTCATGAAGCATAAGGTTACTAGAGATAACGCAAAGTCCTAGAATGCGTTGATAGAGAATTGCGGAAGGAGCTCTTGATAAAGGTGCTTCTCCCCGAGACTTGAAGCAAATAATAAAAGGCCAGAAATTGTTTGAAAGCGATAAAAGAACTGCTACTGTAGAATGTCGGAGGAGAAGAGTCCCAAGAGCGATGAAGGTTCTCTGGTGCGGATTGTGTGGTGCCATTAAAACGGGGTGGTTCGATACCGACGATACGCGGATCGGCGAATGTGTTTAAAACCGAGCAACGAGCCCAAAACAGACACAGACCAGACCAGGTTGGACGAAAATAAAGATCAGCTCCGCAGGTCCGCAGGTATTAGCTTCCGGATGTTGTACAGGTCCAATAAACGTGCCGACGTGGATGGAGAAAGACGAGTTGTGGCATTCCACCTAACTGCAAAACCCTAGAGCACTTTCAAAAAAAGTTCACGAGCAATTTATGACGTCAATTTCTTTTTGAAGCACAGTGCTCCACACCGGCACGCACCAGAGCCCTGTAAGCGATGTCAATGGCGTGAGTCAAGTTTTTTTGGAAGCGCTCTACGGTTTTGCAGTCACACGGGCGAGTGCCAAATTTTGGCATGCCGGATGTTGTATTCTAAACCCGCCATCTCGGAACAAAATTCGGCTCACCCAACACCAAAGCTGTTTTCCAGATTTTCAGCTCCAGCATCAGCTCATCCCTGAAATCCATTCCGATATTCCAAGTTTCAGGTAGAACATCCGACCTCCCGAAATTTGGGAAGCTTAGTGATGGGTACTTGGTCTTTGTTCCCACTTTGTCATTTCTTTGTTTTAGCACACATGGACATGTTTGCCAAGTTTCGGGACACCGGATGTTCTATTCTAAAGTTGGACTATCAGAATAGCACTCGGGCCTCAGCCGATTGTGCAACTGAAACTCATGGAATCAGATCCAGCTTCCGTCCGGCCGAAATTGAATCTGATCCCTCAGCATTCGAATAGAACGTCCGGGGTGCCGAAAATTGGCAATCACCGGTGTGAGTTAGGTGTCAAGTTGTTGTGGCAGGTTGTGGCTAAAAAAGGAAATAAACACTAGTAGGCCCGCTTCGCGGCAGGGCCCACTATCTGCCCTTGTAGAGTAAGGGGAAATTTTATATTAAGCATATTTCGTAGATACATAGAGCAAGATTCAGTGGACGAATGATGCAAAATGTTAGCGCAGCTTGGAAGCTGTGCGCGAGATGGGTATTGAGGATAATTTACGGACTATATGAAACACGGGCAGAAGTTTAAATTAATTCCGGGTCATAAAAGAGAAACATTCGATGCTCACGCGTAACTGAGCAAAGTTGGGTAGGTTCGAGAGTGAATTAAACGACGAATAAGCTTGAAGGTTGATCAGGCGCCGCCACTATAGATGTTTACCGATATGTAATGTGTGTCACAAGGTACTTACATGCAAGCAATCCGAAAACAGTAGGCGCGACTGCAGATTGTGTCCAGCCCGTTCAAAAGGGACGATTCAAGAGGGACTTCATGAGAGGGAATGGGTTTAAAGAAGTAACTCTGTCCACGTGGCTCTGACACATTAAATTTCCGGACGCAAATTTGGTGGGCGGGGAAACCCAGGGATACGCTCGCGTGGAGAAAGATGGCGATTAAAATGAGGCGCGAGCGGCCAAACCTGCGACGACTGGAACGGAGCGACAAGCGGCAGGAGCGGAACACATACAAGCCAGACGCGAGTCCTGCTGTGAGGCAGGAGAGACGGGTGCACGGGGTACACAAAAATAATGAGCGCAAGAGAAGTGTGCACGTGCAGGCGTCGCAGTGCGGGTAACCAATGGAGGAGTCCTTTGTGCTGAGACCACGTAGAGAAGAGCCCGGTCTGCGTTCTGCGGCACGCCCGTGAGCACCGCCGCCTCCTGGAGCTGGCGCAGCTCAGGCAGTGTCTTGTCGTGGCGTGCCTTGTCGTGTGACGCAGTCGGGGAGCCTCGGTACGTGGGAGCGGCTGCCGGCGGTGGCACGGCGCATAGCGGGGGTCAAATGGGGGGACACCAGCGTGCGCGATGAACGCGTGCGCGGCGAGGATATGCAGCACGAGCAGGAGGGAGAAAAAATAAAGAGCGCAAGCAGAAGCATGCTGTCGCCGGTAGAGGATGTCCTGCTGGGAACGCGGAGAGGCGGGGCTGATGTTTTGAACAAAAGTGGAGCGCAGTCAAGGGAAATGGAAGGGCAAGATCGCTGCTGATGAGCCGAGGCGAGAGCCAGAGGATCGAGTGAGCCTCATTTGGACATTACTGTCCCAGTCCCAAATCATCCAAGCGCCGCCGCTTGAGAGCTCGACCAACCACGGCATCCTGTAGAGCAGGAGGATGAAGCGGAGTGCGAGGATTTGAGATCTGAGCGTCGTCCGTCAGTCGTCGTCCAATACAATATAATTATCCTCACCTCCTCCCGGGGTTGGTCGAGAGCTTTGCGTTTGTGACGCCGGACAGATGCCATCGAGCTGCTTTCCACCCATTCCATGGGATCCCACTCGCTTGTAGCGGGAATCTCACCCCCAGCACGAGGATGAGATGAGAAGGCAGGTTGTGGACGGAGTGGAGTGTCCAGAGGCACTCTCTTCCTTTTCGGAAGTGTTACGTGCCTAGGCCGGTCCGCCGCTGATTCTGTCACAAACGTTACTGGCGCATCAAGATCTTTCCTCTTTCTTCGCATAACTTGGGCTGGCTTGATCGTCGTCAATCGCAAATTCTTCATTTGCAGTTTCTTTAGCCTGACAGCTGGATCTTCAGGAATTGAATTTTCATCTTCATTGGCCGAGTCTGGTTCTTCGTTGATATCACGGCCGCAGATGGTCTGAAGTTTCTCTGAAGCAGCTGCTCGTTCTTCTTCCGTTCCATGAGAGATCACTGTCTTGAGAGAAAGAATTTCTAGTCGTTTGGTCTCTCGTCTCAGATCCTCAGAAGGACGGCAACATATCCTAGCTTTTTCAAATGGCGTCAAGATCGCAAGTCCGGCCAAGGACGTAACTCTTGAAATCATCACATACGGTGCCTCTGTACCACGACAATCTGACAGGTTGACAACAGCAGTCTGCAGAGTTCTCCCTTGGGCCTTGTAGGCCGTCATGACAAATCCGGGTTGGATTGGAAGTTGAGTGCGTTTCACTGTACAACTCTTAAATGTATACGGATGCTCTAGCTTAAAATCAACAGTATCTTCAAGAGCAACGACATGGTGGTCTGGCAATCCTGGGATCAATCCGGGGTCGGTATCTGGTGCCTCGACAACACAAGAAATGGCGTATCTATTGCCATGTTCATCCACTTTGTAGCGCACACTTTTCAAGATGCCGGAACAGCCATTTACGACCCCGCCTGGAACATCGAAATTCTGCGCAAACATCACGGGCATACCAATCACCAGAGGTATTTTCCCTAACCTCTGATTTGTCTTCCCCGAATCTAATGACATCAGCCGTTGAGTTAATGCAGTTTCCTCGACACGAACTTTGCCAATTTTGTCCCTAGCATAATACCAGTGCAATTTCCGGCCCGTTTCCTTCGCAAATGCTCGTGCGGCTTTGATATTTAGCTCATCCTTCATGTGGTTCTCATTGACAATGATCGGTGTATTCTTCCACGGCTCAGTCGTCCAATCAATGTCGAGATTGCTTAACAAACGGCTGTTCAAGGTTTGAAAGTCGGCCTCGGTACATCTTCCGTCGCGTAGGCGCCCCAATAACTCTAAGAATGGTTGGTTTTCCGGACCTGATTGGCGGACAATCTCAGTCAATAGGACGACTGTCTTCACAGACAACCATAGCAGTTTTCCAAAAATATCCTTTTGGCCAATCTCTGTGCCAGCCTTTGCTGTACGGATGCCTGATCTCTTTTTTTGAGGTTTTTTCTTTGCATCTGGATCTATATGTGCATAGAGTCTGCTTTGTCCAACAGGTGGCAACTGTGAAAAGTCCCCCGCAAATATTAGGTTGATTCCACCAAAGGCCAGAGTGCTTCCCTTTGCAGCACTGAGAGCAGAACTAATGTCGTAAAGCAGGGCACATCCAACCATCGAGATCTCGTCGATAAACAGATAATCGACACCTTCCCACATGGCCATGATGTCGCGCAGTGCCTTCCCTGTCTTTTG